AAAGAAAGAAAGAAAGAAAGAAAGAAAGAAAGAAAGAAAGAAAGAAAGAAAGAAAGAAAGAGCATGACTTCACAGAGGCTTTGAACCTGAAGGGATCCAAACCAGGAGCTTCGAGACGAGGGTGGCGAGGCTGTTCTCCGCCCCCTCCCCAATGCCTGCAGATGGGAGACCCCCCTCCTCCAGCAAAGGGGTCTGCCAGGCCAGCCCAGACCACAGCCACACAAAGAGGCCATTCAGGCAAGGAGTGGGAATTTACGACCTGCCTCCAGCATCACCTTTTCAACTCGGGGGAGCCTTGGCTCAGTGCCTCCGGAGGAGCCCCTTGCCCACCAATGGACAGCCTTCTTCAGTCCCGGGACCCTCTCCAAGCTAAACAAACAAGCTTGTTGGTGAACCCTCCCAGGGGCTCGTGGCCTGGCCACAGAGGCCCCTCCCCCCTCCCACACGCCTACCTGCAGTCCGTCATGAGCTCATCCAGCATCTGAGCCACCAGGGTGTCCAAGGTGCTGGCAGAACGCTGGGCTTTGTGGGCCAGGTGGACCACCTCCAAGTTGGCAGCCTGCATTGGGGCAGACAGCAGAAATGCCACGTGCTGCTGAGGGAAGTGCGCCACATCCAGCCCTGGCTGGCAGCCCTCTGGCTGGCCCACGGAGCAGCTGAAGGACACATGCGCACGCAGACGGGCACCACACAGTGTCGTGTGCTGCAGCCATCAGGAGCCCCCCCCCCGAGCTTTCTGTGACCAGCCTGGCAGCCCCTCTGAGGGGGTCCTTGGGGTGCTTCCTTGAGCTTGGTGGTGTTCTTGCAGACATTAGCACTGATGATGTTCCCTAGCTGGGTCATGAAATGTCTGCAAAAAAACCACCAAACTCACAGAGAACCAAGGACCCCACAGTTTTCCTCCTCCTCCTCCTCCTCCTCCTCCTCCTCCTCCTCCTGTCTGCAAATCCCTTCTAGCCTGATGATGTTCCCTAGTTGGGTCATGAAACATCTGCAAGAAAACCACCAAGCTCAGAGAACACCAGGGATCCCCTCATTTCAACCCTGAGCCACAAAGATTCTCCTTCATTAGCCCCCTTTTGAGACCCAGTCCCATTGGACAGGATTTTGACTCAATCCGTGCCCATGTGCAACTTTCAGACGCTGCCATCTCAGCAGGGCCCTGCCAACTGTAGGCAAGAAGGCAAGATGGATGCCGGGCTGGTGCGATCCATCATCCGCCTGGTTTCTTAAGAGCATCGCTTACAAGACAGGATCGGCTCGTTCTACTAACTGCCCGAGAGACCGCAATCATCTGGGACCACAGAGAAGAGCAGAATCTCTTCTGGACACTAACTGGGGCAGTGGGGGGGCTCCAAGGCTAGCCTTCTCAGCCCCCAAGCACTCACCAGCCGGTCTGCAGCCCTGTCGAGGAGATTCTGGGCATCCATCCTGTGGCTGCTGTCTTCCCAGTAGGAGGAGAGAACCACCACTGGTTTCACGTTGCCCCAGGGAAGGTAGTAATACTGACAGCCTGGAGATGGAAAAGGCAGAGAGGCCTCCGTTGGTTTATTTATTTATTACATTTCTGCACCAGCCACCTCACCTGAGTGACTCTCCACCTGTAGAAGAAGAGCTGGGAGAGCTGGAGGGGGGGCAGAGTTAAGCAAGTCATCAGCCTGGAATCCTTACATCCCCATAAACAGTCTTAAGTCCAAGTCCTCTTGAATTCCATGAGCCCTTCTCTGGTGCCAATTTTGTATTGTACATTAGTTGACTAGATTCTTGTGTGCAGGTTTGAGCAATAAATCATCTTAGCTGGATCTTAGAGGTAATCCTCATCCTTCATGCCGGACACTATCCAGGAAGCAGCAAGTTTGTTGTTGTGGAAGGTTTGCATTTTTATGTATAGGTAGGTAGGTAGGTAGGTAGGTAGATAGATAGATGGATGGATGGATGGATGGATGGATGGATGGATGGATGGATGGATGGATGGATGGATGGATGGATGGATGGATGGATGGATAGATAGGTAAATAGATAGCCAGATAGCTAGATAGCTAGATAGCTAGATGGATAGATGGATGGATGGATGGATGGATGGATGGATGGATGGATGGATGGATAGATAGGTATAGGTAAATAGCTAGATAGCTAGATAGCTAGATAGATAGATAGATAGATAGATAGCTAGATAGATAGCTAGATAGATAGATAGATAGATAGATAGATAGATAGATAGATAGATAGATAGATAGATAGATAGGTATAGGTAGGTAGGTAGGTAGGTAGATAGATAGATAGATAGATA